TGTTCTCTTTCTTCTTTTTTTCAGCATGGAATAAACCTATTACTTGTTCCTTTGCAGCCTACGCATGCTGACGCAGCTACCCACCTGAACTATTTATTTAATACGTTTAGTTTATTTTGCTTTTCAATTCAAATGCCACAACCCCTTTTCAGTTAAACATTACTCTGAACTCTGAGACATTAATTAAGCAAGTCCTTCCATTTCAAAATCTATAGTGACTATCCCCTTGCAGCATACTTTCACATTAATGACTGTCAAGTTCAGTTGTAATTATTGTTTCTATAAACATACGTTTAATAGAAGTAAGACATTGCTCTATAATTATTAGGTCCAGGTCTGTTGATTTTATTACTCAAAATTACAAATTTTACAGTCACTGATAATTAACCCTGTCTTGAATGATTGTTGGAAGAGTTAAAATAGTATCCTGTTCCTGGATTGGTAAAATTGGTAGAATACCACCTGGCCTTAAATATGTATCTATGCTGAACTGTTCTGTGTGTAACAGTTCTGCATCTTTTGTACTAATTCTGTTGAATATGAAATTTAACTCAGCCTGAGGCATGCTGCTGATTTCTTAAATGAGTATTTCACTCAGGTGCTCATCAAGTATGTGCATAGCTAGGACCCTATGCAGATAGTAAAATGCGGAAGTAACTGGAGAAGGACAACAGGGAAAACACGATGAGGATCAGGACGGGATGACAGACAAGAGGGCATGAGGACGGTGATCCGGTGCTTGGGGGGCATGGCACAAGGAAACAAGTCCAAACAGTCCAAGGGGGAAATCCGGGGCGCAGTCCAGGGTCCAGGTGCCGGGAGAACTATCCAAGACAGTTAAAATCCGGAACTGTGTCCAGAACAGGGAGTTAAAAGAAGGATAACGAGGCTAGGTGCTCCGAGCCCCGGACTCAAACGGTCAGGACGCCATCCTGAAGCCTAATCCGTCAGTTCTCTCCTGGACCCACTGGTACGCGCGCTTCCGGGTGTCCATCTTCCAATCCTGAGCCAGGAATAGCGAGAGCGCCAGGCATTTTGATATGCGAGTATGGTTCGACTGTTGCACTTATAATTGTTCATTCCATTTTGTTCTTACTTTTAAGTATTGTGGCGCCCTCGCCTATCATTGTGGCCAAAGAGCTGAGATGCATGCCGAAGGGCAGGATTGCAGGAGGAGCCATACGGGGGACTGAGAGCTACTGGTCAGGGCGGGTTGACCATCTAGTGCGGTTGTACATTGTTGTGGGCTAATGGGCCATGTAAATAGTTACCCCCGGTTTATACCCTTTTATACCTGTACCCACTTAACCACCCTATACCTATGTACCTGTACCCCAAGTGACGTGAGTGTGTTATAACCTTCTGAGGCTGTATTTGTTTGGTGGTGTCTTTGCTGCTACGCTGGCAATAAAGAGCACTTTCATCTCTAAAAAGGCTTGAGTTTCTCTTGGGTGCTGGTGGCAGGGAGCCCCCATTACCTGTAAAGCACTTTGAGTGGAGTGTCTGGAAAAGCGCCATATAAGTGTAATTAATTTTTATAAGAATAATTGCTTACACTTATATAGCGCTTTACAGGTAATGGGGACTCCCCTCCACCACCACCAATGTGCAGCATCCACCTGAATGATGTGATAGCAGCCATAATGCACCAGAACACTCACCCCACAGCAGCTATTAGTGGGGAGGAGAACAGAGAAGCCAGTTCATAGATGGGGATTGTTATGTCCCCATCACTATACTGGGGCATTTGGGGTGAGCACCCCCTGTTGGCCCCACTAACACCTCTTCCAGCAGCAACCTTAGTTTTTCCCAGGAGGTCTCCCATCCAGGTA